TGTGTGTGTGTGTGTGTGTGTGTGTGTGTGTGTGTGTGTGTGTGTGTTGAAAGTGGGAAGTCACACAGGTAGGCAACTCTTCCTGACGGCTGCTCTCTCTGTGGTCCACACTGATAGGATGGTGTTTACAGACTGGAAGGCGTGCATGCATCCCTCTAGTGGTTACACTTAAAACAATCACAAGTCCCACAAGCCAGGGTCCTTACAGAGCAGTCTGCAGAGGGAGGGGGCTGTCACAAATGCCTAAATGTTAATATGCTGATTCAGCAGTGCTTCCTGTTTGCTTAGCATACTTCCAACTTCTACACTTCCTTCAAGAACATTCTTCTCTTTGAAATCCTGCTCCTGTTCTTGTTTTCTTGTGCCGCTTTTAGTTACTATATGACTCATTTTAGCTTTTAGCTTGTCTGCTTCTTTTAGCTGGTGTTTTGCTTCGTTTCTCATAATGGTTTGTCCCTTTAGGTTTTAGCCGATGTTCTGCTACCATTCTGAAACTTTGAGCTTTTTGACAGTCTTTTGCTACTTTTTTTTACGTTTTTCAAGGATTTGTGTTGTCAATTACATCACATGTGGTACATGAGGGGGAATGAAGCTATGTACACAGCAGTTACATCCAACAAAAATACAAATTGCAAAGAAAAACATTAGTAAGATCCGAGACATGAACTAAGAATACACAAAACTAAGAATATACTACATTCACTAAACTAAGAATACACAAAACTAAGAATACACTAAGCACTAATAGTACAAAAGCAATGCACCAAAACAACAGCAGCATGAACATGAGTCCGTGTGAGCAGATTAGGATTAATGAACACAGCAACATGAAATAATCAGCAGCATGAGATCAGCAGCATGAATAGTCAGCAGCACATATCAATAACCAAGTTGCATTACAGTGATTATTCAGTGATTTGTCCTGATTAGAGATTCATGAGTCTAACAGCCTCAGGGTAGAAGCTGTTCCTCAGTCTAGTGGTTCTACAGTTAATGCTCCTTAACCTCCTTCCTGAGGGGAGCAGTGCAAAAAGTGAGTGTGCTGGGTGAGTGGGGTCCTTCATGATGCAGGTGTCCCTCTTCCTGCATCTGGAGGTGTAAATGTCTGTGATGGTGGGGAGACTGACTCCAACCTCTTCTGTGCAGCCTTCACCACTCTCTGCAAAGCTTTTCTTTCTGCAGCTGTGCAGCCTCCATGCCACATGTTGATGCTGGAGCACAGGATGCTCTCCACTGCACACTTTTAGCTTTTAGCCAGCTTTTTGTTACTTTTAACGTTTAGCTAGCACTTTGCCACTTTTAGCTTTTAGCTAGCGTTCTGCAGCTTTTTCAGCAGATTTCAGCAGCCATTCAGCGCTGCAGCATTCAGGAAACTTCTCCTAGATCATATTGAGGACATTTCTCCCACACTTTTTATAGAACTTTCCTTCCATTAAAAATAAATAAAAGTAAAAACACTAAAAGCGGGGAGTGAATTTAAAGATTAAATTTATTTTATGTTGTCTTTAAACTGCAACATAATAATAAAAACAACAAAAGAGGGCAAAATTATAAACTATTGCTTATTTGGACACAAAATGTTTTTATTTGTATGTTTTCTAAAACATTTATTTTTATTTTTAAAAATATATATAATATTCTTATAATTATTTACGCATTCATTTGTTTGTTTATCTGTTGACTTGTTTATCAATCCATATGTGTGTACTCTGAAATCATCAAAAAGTTTTTTTCCAGAAACCAAAATAAGCCAAACTGTATATTTACTCAATTTAATAGAACTTATCAGTTTTTTTTATTTAAAGCCAAAAAAAACATTGTTTTAACCACAAATTGGCATTAAAAAGAAGCCTGTGTAGTAGTACAATATATGAGATATATATGCATACAATATTCACGAGTTCCTCATCTTTCTGACTGTGTAATGTCGTGCATTGAATTTAACAGAAATGTAACGAGAGACGTTATTTATCTTTGACCCATCAAAATGAATGCGGTCATTTATTTTCAGAATCAAAATTTAACATCAAACATTTACATTAATTTGGCAAAATATGAAAATAATAACAGACAAGTTTCACAGAAAATGAACTTCAATCACGCGGCGGTGACTGAGGACTTTGCTTCAGATATTTCTAAAATATCTGTACTGATTTTATGAGATAGAGGAGAGTTTTAAGATGAAATGGAGATTTATCTTACAGAGAGATATGTGAGGGAATTAATCTGTTTGACCAGAAATTGCACGCTCCATCAGATATCAGCTTGCCCACGGTACACTTGGTCGAGAATAGGACCCTCTACCTGTTGATGATGAAATCAGCGTCGGAGCAGGTTCCTTTCTGACTCTTTTCAGCGTCTCCGTGAGAACTACCAAACCCTCAGAGAGTCGTACGTGGTGTTCAAACAGAAATTATAATCCCAAAACGTCTCTGGATCATCCTGAACGCGTTTGCACCCAAGAACTCTGAAAACCTTTCATTCTTCAGAACTTCTCAGACTCTAACAGAATCTTTCAACTCCAGCAACTCTCTAGTTCTTCATCTCCTCAGCCTCTGGAATTCTCTGGAATTCTCCGGAATTCTCACTTGAACTGGGAAGTTGCCACATTTTAAATGGGTCGACTTCCGGTTCATTTGAGAGCTTTTGATTGGTCGATGGACCAGGAATAGAGGTGTGGTGTATGATGTAAGATGTTATTAAAAATCAAGGATTGTTTAGTAACGAACAGAAAGATTATTGTAGGACTTCAGACTTCGTGGAGTCTCACACTTATAATCTTCTGAAAAAGTTTAAACATGACATCTTTCTCGGTAAACATTTTAGTTGACCGAAAACCGACCTTTAACATACTTACATTGCAGGCAGAAAAATCAAGAAATGCATATTAACCTGATTTCTTCTTTGAATGGAATAAAAATCATTACTTACTGTTTATGTAAAATAAAAATGAGTAGTTCTTTTCAACCTGTAACATTGAGTGAACTAACACAATTTGATTATCAAACATTTGTAAACAGTGATGATCATAGAGAATTGTCTTTTCTGCTTGATTAATTCAAGAAAGAAAGTCATCAGATGGCTCAGACTGTATTCAGATCAATGAAATAACAGTCCCTGTCCATCTGATAGATTTGGGGTCATCAGGGTCAGATCAGGGTCAGATCAGGTTCACTACACCTGTATACCTAAATGTGGTCAGTAAAGTTAATTTAAATACGTACGTTCGCTCTCTTGCACTTTTTCCTCTTTTTGTGAAAGGTTCCCTGAATAAAGAAAAAAATGAAACACATTTGCTAGTTTCAGTTTGACTCATTAAAATCGCACTAATGTTTACGGAGAGTCGCTTTCTGACAGATGAGAAGTTCAGAACAACAAGATGTTGACGTCTGAGCTCGGTGTCAAACATTCACAAATCAGAACGGCTTCTCGTTCATCAGCATCCAGTCAGCTGGAGTCTCAGGGTTTTTCTTACTCCATTGTTTATTGCAAATGTGTGTTCAGACGGCCCGAACCTGCCACCTACCATCAAGAGAAGAGGGAACAAACATTAAATATTTACCTTCTTCCTCATATGGTCCTGTGACTTTTGAGCTGCATATTTCTGTTTGTGTCCTGCGTGGTGGTGGGAAGGGGGAGTTAATACCTCGATGTGTTTGAAAGTCATTGCGAGCACACGTTCACGGGGACGATAAATCTGAATCTGTTCGAAAGAGACGGCAGAAACCTTCGAGACCAAACGATCCCACTACAGATGAGCCTGATCAGACTGTATGACAACTCTTCCATCTTGTTCATCCTTTTTTCTTTTTTTTTTGTCTCCGACACTTCTTATTCCATTTAAATCCCAGACACACATTTATGTTGTTGTTGTCTTTTTTGTTTGTTTGTTAGCAAAATATATAGAGATAAATGGCTTTTCACTGTTGCAATGGAGGTAATTTTTTTTACAAACTTAAGATAAAAACTGTTCAGTACTTTTATTTACTTATTCCTAGGCTTATGGGTGGTGAAGACAGAAAGGATGAGCTCATGTCTTAGTCAGCTGACTCGTCTGCTACGTCCAGGCTGCAAGGGCTTTAA